GGCTCACGACGTTCATTGGAAACGACCCTGTATACTGAGGTGGCACCGCCTTTCTGGCGTACATGACCCGCGTGTCCAAGGATCTGTCCTCTCCTCGCGCTTGGATCTTCTCCCAGTTCGCCGCTGCCAACATTGGGTCTGCCATTCTCGTTTCGAGTAACCCTACCAACCTCGTCCTTGCTGGCGCTTTCGGCATCAAATTTATTCACTACACGGCTAACATGGCTGTGCCGACCGTCACCACGGCCATTGTCCTCTATCCCATCCTGCTGTACTTGGTTTTCACGGAGCCCGGATTGATCCCTAGGCGCATGGCCATGTACCAGCTGCCAAGTCACTTGAGCAACGTGCCGCCTGCAAATCCCAACATCCCAGCCGCCAAGGATCTAACCGTCACCGAGCTGAGCCACTGCACGCCGAGGGAGGCTGGACAGATAGCGAGCGCCCAGGAAGGCGAGTCCTCGAGGGACTTGCTGGCCCTCGAGGAAGTCTTGAACCCATTTCTAGACACCAAGTCGGCAATCGTTGGATCGGTCATCATGGCCACTACTTTAATCACGTTGCTGGCACTGAACGCGGCGAGTACAGGCACCGGGGAACATCCCGTATTCTGGGTCACACTCCCAGCCGCTTTTCTCATGTTTTGCTGGGATGTCGGCTGTGGCTGGGAGAGCCGGCATACGACCAGAGAGATTGCCAAATTCGGCGACAAGAAGCGCCTCCAAGCATTGGCTGTACAACAGACGAAGCCCGCGCTAACCATCACAACGCCTTCCGAGCCCGTAGGACGACAGGCACCGATGAACCCTTCCGACGAGAAGGAGAGCCAGCCCGCGGTCGCTGATGGGCAGCTTGTGACAAACCCAGAAAGTATCATTTCGACAATCCACGAAGCAACCCAGTGCCCCGCCAGAGCGAAAGAACAGGGAGCATGCGATCCTGAAATAGAAACTCCAGGCAATGCGCCGCATTTCAGTCATGCCGAGCCGTCTCCCGCGTCGCGTGATACTTTCGGAAGTGAAGATTTCAAGACTGACAACATGGACACAGAGTGCCATAAGCGACCTCAAACACTCGTCGGTTCTTGCAGAGAGTTAGTCGATTGGCTTCGAGCCACATTTCCTGCCACCATGGCCGTCTTCTCGCATCTTCCCTTGGCGCTCATCCCTTTCGCTTTTGCCATGTTTGTGCTCGTGCAAGCGCTGGTGTCGAAGCACTGGGTGGCCACGTTTGCGTACGGGTGGAAACACTGGGTCGACAAGACGGGCGTTGTAGGAGGTATCGGCGGCATGGGATTTCTATCTGTCGTTCTGTGTAATGTGAGTGTCTATCGGCGGGAGCGTTTTGTCTCCACACGAACAGGGCAGTGCCGAGGTCTGACATATGCGTTCTTGATAGTTTGCTGGCACCAACATCGGCACCACGATTCTCTTGTCGCGCGTCATCCAGACATGGGAGGAGATACATCGCGTCAGCGGCTCGCAGATCGACAGCCGCACCTTTTGGGCCACGGTGTACAGCATGGCCATTGGCGTCAACTATGGTGCCTTTAGCGCAGCGTTCAGCGCATCGCTGGCCGGGCTGCTGTGGCGCGATATTCTTGCGAGGAAGGAGATTGAGGTCACCAGCCTCGACTTTGCGCGGTTCAATCTGCCGATCATCAGCGTGTCCATGATTGTAGGTTTGACGGTGCTGATCATACAAGTCTACATCACGCCAGATGGGACGGTGAATTAAATCACCGAAGCTCGGCTGTCGTGGGCGGCTGTGCAGAGGTGAAGTCGCTTGAGGGATTCAGGTCGAACTCATGTCGTGACACGATTCGTATCAGGGTTCGAACTCACAGGAAGGAGCATCGCCTCCCAAATGGTCTTGGCAAGGGAGAGACTTTCCTGGTGTAATCAATAATGCTGAATATATGCTTATGATAGCACAGAAAGTCTAATGCGAAAAATGGTCCTATGGGATTCCGGCGACAAGGGAGCTTGCGCGTGTTCGTGGGCGGCGGGATTCCATGACATGGTGCCATTGTAGTTGCGCGATGATGCCCCACGGGGATCCCCGCGAGATTTGAACCTCCCCGACGTGCCACGCACGGGAAGACGACACGGTTGCTGCTGGCACCGCGCAGTTGTGGTCAGGCGAATGGACAGCGCCTGATTCGACAAGGAGGTCCCGATTTGCCGATTCATGGAGAAAGGGACGGAGCTCGCGTTTCGCGTTTCGCACCGCGGGGCACATGAGGTGTAGGTTCCCTAGAGCGTGAGGGGTCCGAACTGGGTCCCTTGTCTCCAGTCCCCATAAGGCGTGTCTTGGGCTGCATATCTGGAAGATGCGGCGGCAGTTGGGGTCGGCTAAACGTGGGCGCGGACCGGATGGGCGTCACCACCCCATCACCCGATATCATACTCTGCGTCGCCTTTCAGGGCCCTCCAGCGGTGTCAACCCCCTGGATATACGCTTAGCCGGCATGCCCCTCCCGAGTCCCAGGACGATCGAAGCCGCGCCCAGCTTCCCCCGCGGATTGCCGAGCTACGTTGCCGCTACCGTGACGGGCTGCTGCGACGATGAGAATAGGCCTCGTATGATTCGTGGCCACGGTGGAGCGCCTCGAACTGTGGCTGCCACGAGTTCGGCAGCGGGGGGGGGGGAACCTTGGGGACGTTGCGAAAGCCTGTTCGGCATCGCGCCCGGCGAAGCTTTGAGCCACCGAATGCGATAAGTAGTCGGTCTCGCCCCTGGTTCTCGGAGGAGGGAAGAGCCATTCTTATTCCATCAAACACCTTTGTATGTCCTTGCCGGCTCTCTCTCTCACCACGTCCTCTCTCCCAGTGCCTCCGAGTCGCATCATTGTCCGTTTTGAGATACCACCAACTTTACGACACGCCCACAGACAGACATTCCCACAATGGCAGCCAACGGAACCGCCAACGGCCACACCAACGGTCAGGCCAAGGGCTCGTCCAAGTTCGACCCCAACTTCACACAGCATGTCATTGATCTCATGAGCCCTGAGACGGACCCCCGCCAGCGCGTCATCCTCACCTCTCTGATCCGCCACATGCACGACTTTTGCCGCGAGGTCGAGCTGACGCAGGACGAGTGGGTCACGGGCGTCAA